GATATTTGGTGCTCTTGAACTCGCATATCACACTAGCTTGACGTAGAGACCTAGGTGCACTAGGGGAGCCGGCGACAAGCTTCTGTTGTGCAGGTGCCCAAGAGCAGATAACAGCCACCTTCACTTCGAATAGATGTAATTTTTGGCTTCAAAGAGCCGAAGTTGGTGACGATGGCTACCGAAACTAGACAAATTGCGTTTCATTCTCGCTGAATTTCATACATTGTCGCACCTCCCATGGTCCTCACAGGCTACCCGGAACCAGCAAAACCTTCCCTAAAGACAGTTTTGACCCATCTATCTCAAAACAGAAATGAGAACGATATCACAATTCAGCTATCATAGAATATGCCTTTGCTTAGTTCTTTCTGGTCCTGAAGACAAATCTTTCCAGCCATCTGTCACGGAGACGGTGCAGCGTTTTGAAGAGACACGTCGTACAGAAGAGGTAGAGCGACGTGTTCAACGTAAAGAACGTCGTGAACGTCGCTCTAGACATCATTCTTCGTCACGTCATCATGGCTCACATGGATGGGAGAACGGCTACAGCTCCGGTAAGGGAACATTCCTGTCTGTGCACAGCTTCCGTTAGGGGATGGTTTCTGAAATGTCGTCTTCTCAAACAACTGTAGCTTCGCTAGTTTGCGGATAGGGTCTGTCGCACAGCTTCAGAAGTAAACCCGTGGAAAGTCACTTCTGCAAATTATGGAGTCACTCCTAAATCACTGTCCCTTTGAGAAGACGATATCATACAAAAACTTCTTATTGTAGACGGAGTCGTACTCATCGACTCGGTCACAGAGCACTCTGCATCGCGTTTAGTCTTTTGTTCAAACACTCGTGTGAGTTTTTGTGGGCTGAGTAGGACCGCTAGCAAAAATCGATACTCAATCGATACTCAACTCGTTTCTGGAAATGACAAAGCAAGCCCAAAAACAGTTACAGTCATGTACGCTGCCGATGCTGAGGGGAAGGATGGCTAGATTGGGCGCGGCGCCAGTTCCTTTCCCAACAAGTGTGTGTTGCTTGTTCGCTTAAGCCATTACTGGAGAACGGACTGGCACTGTGCCAAAC